CACATTTTTATTTCTAAAAAAAAAAAATTTACTGTTATCACTTTACACGTATAGTATGTAATGAAGGCAATAAATTTTTCTTTACACCTGTGAGATTCCTTCTGAATATTTTGTCCTCTGATCCGTCTTTTTGACTTCTTTGGCATGATAATTGTCCTACGAAGACTATTCATCTGACTTTTGCTTTTCTTCACATTTTTTCTCCTTTGAATGCATGTCTGTTTTATGTCTTTTCTTCTTTAATTGTTTATATGTCCAATTCTGGCTTTTGTTTGTCCTTCATCTGGTTTTTTTTTCTTCACATTTTTTTCTCTTTTGCATGTCTGTTGTCTTTTCTGTTTATTTGTCAATCATCTCTATGTAGGCTTCTTCTAGATCTTCATCCATTTCGTTAGTTTGGCCGTCTGAAATGTATTCTTCCTCTTCTGTGTCTGATTGTCTTTCAGCTGATTCATCATTCATTTCTTGAAAAGTCATCAGATATAACTGCTTTTGTTCAAAATTAGGAGCTGAAATGTTTTCCGTTTTAACCCTTAAAGCGCGCGTTTTTTGTAACGACCCGACCTCTCACCGGAGCCTTTATCTTACGTACTGTCCGCTCTGGGGTGGGCTCTGCCCACTTATCCCCTCACGGGAGACTTAAGTCTCCCATATGATGGAGGTTTTGGGTTCGAATCCTAGGGGACGCGTCAGAAGGCAGTGAGGGGATAAGTGGGCAGAGCCCACCTCAGAGCGGACAATACGTAAGATAACGGCTCATGTGAGAGGCCGGGTCGTTACAGATGATATCCTTATTCATAGTTCAATTATATTGTTAGAAAATATGGATTAGCCCTATCAGAAAGAAAAACCGAAATAGCTAAAATTGAAATTGAATTCTTAGAATATATTTTTATTGAAGAAAAAAAATACTTCAACAGTCTCATATTGGAAAAAAAGATTATTGAATTTCTAGAAGAAATTAGAGAAAAGAAAGAGCTGCAAAGTTTTATCGGATTATTAAATTTTTCTGAGTAATTTATCAAAAATTGTACAAAATACCAAGTCCACTTTACCAAAAAACTCAAAAAATGAGTAGTATAGGAATGACCGAATGGACACAAGAGGATATAGAAATTATAAATAAAATTAAAAAAATATGTGAAAATCTACCTGAATTAAATATTCCAAATGATGATGATTTCTTTATTTTAGAAACTGATACATTTCTATTACACCGAGAGCAATCCTCAAAAGAAAAGAGAATCATAAAGAATTTCTTTGTAATCCATTGTGTAAATGTCCAGAAGAGTTTGTTGCTTATACTTCGGCACATTCAAAGATGCCGAAAATGATATTAATCGTAAAGAATGTTTAGCTGTTACGAAAGGAGTAGCAAAATTTGAACCTTACTTGCTACCTAAAAAAATTCTTATTAGAACAGATAATATTCAGGTAAAACCATTATTGACAAACAAACTTGGAACAAGTGCAGCTGAAAGGCCACTTATTAGAATGCAAATGTGATTTGCACCATTTAAATTTGATATTGTCCATATTAAAGAAAAATACAATTTCATTCCAAATTTCTTAACTAGGAATGGAGCAAATCAAGAAGGAACTAGAATCATTGAAGTTTGAGATGAACATAAAGATAGATGCAATAAGATCCAAGATAACACTATTGGAAATGGCTGCTGCAAAGCCAATATCTGAGAAAGCCAACAATGCTATATTATCTGAAGGCTCTAGTGCCAATAAATCTGAAGGTCATTGTACTAATATTTAACAAGAAGCATTGAAACTTCATAAACTATCAGTCAATGAGAATACTACTTTGTCTCCATCACATGAGAAAAAAACTTACAAATGATAGTATCTCTATACCAAAGCTGAATAGCTCAAATATTATCAAAACATGTAACACCCCTGGTGTTATGGATATCAAAAATAAATATGATTTTATTTTGGCATACGTATTGTTCAATCTTGCCCGTTGCTAGTTCACCAGTATATGAGGATAGATGAAAACTCTCACGTATGGAACGTATAATAAAGTCAACTTATATTCAGGAGCCCCAACTTATTGGGTTCGTACTCTTTTTGAGATGAGAAATATAATCTGTATTTACCCATCATAATCGTTAAAATAAATCTATATGCTATCAAATGATGTTGTCCGAGCTATTGAAAGATATTGTCAAGTTCTTAAACATAAGAACATATATATCAGGTTTTTCTCTGCAAGTCCCGAATAGGATAATGAGGAAGATAGGCTGATGCCAGTTAGCCATGTTATAAGGATTGCCACTACTTCCAAGCATCTTCAGCCTAAGAAGAGTGAAGTCCATGAAACTACACTAAAAGATGTTATCAATATGACATCTTTCCGTAGAGCCAGGGATATAAGGAGCAATTCGAGCATATCCAGAAAGTTATTGAAGAAAATCAGAAAATTTGGGTGTATGAGTTACAAGACCACTTGATTTACAGCAAGGTTGTTACACCCACTAAACAAGAAGATTTGCACTATCTAGATACATGGTGTGATAATATTTTTGGAGGAGATGCTAGTGGAACACAGAAGACAAAAAATGAGTTGTGCAAACAGTTTTGGCGTTATCCAAATCATAAGTGCGAATGCTGTAGCAATGAAGAAGATACTCACCAATCTCTCTTGATCCAGAGGAATTTTCGGATGAGTGGTTTGAGTCTCATATGGAAAAGTATAGGACCCCTTTATCACTACTTTATCAAAAGCATTTTTGATAAAGAAAAACTGTTGGTTTACCCGAATTATTTTCCATAATAAGATGAAGAACTTTATGCCACAGTAAGATATCCATTATCTTACACAGTAACACAACAATAGTGAAGGGCAGCTGTAGAGATTTCGAGTCTATAAATTGAAGACTAATTTTCAGTAGAAGGCATCGAATCCTTAAGCAAAAACATATCTCTCTATCTAGTTTTTCAAATCTTGCCCCCGTTTGGGCCACCTTTTTATCTCATTAAAATGAAAATATGACCGTTATCCATCATATCAACATTTAAATTCAAATTTTCTATCTCTTGTGTGGGCCCAATAACAGCTATATTTTTCATTCTCATTCTACAATAAGGTGGCTCAAACAGGGCCCTTGTAACCATTTCAATTCCTGTCTTTCAAGTGAAGCTTTTAATAAGGTAATCTCTATGGAGTTCTAATCTCTTTAGAGAAAGTACCAAGAGTGTAGCCAAAGTATGAATGTATACTCTTATGTAAGAGATATTAGTGTGATGTGTTTATGAAATTAAAGTTGTTTGAAGATACTGTCTTTCTATCCTTATTGTTTTATCAAAAACTCTTATCTTACTTATACTCCAACGGTGAAAACCTTGAGGGTTAGTGCAACTATCTTGTTGCCGTTTAGCCTTGTGTAGGCGTTTGAGGCGTTGTTAGAGAAAGCCATGAGAACCCAGTTACCATTCAATGTGATGTTTTAACTAGGAGTTTAAAGGAAAATTGTGATTCCGTGTGATCCATAGTGAGATATGTAAAATAGTTAGAGAGAAAAATCAGTAAGTATACGGAAGTCGTGTTGGACCATAACCCACTTTCTTAAATTCAAACAACACCGACCACTTATATCTGAGTATACAAACATATGGAAACAAGCTCGAGGGAAATCTCATTGATATTAATCTGCATTTACCTTATGTTTTAATACTGTAAGATCTTTCTCATTTATGTTACATATTTGCATTAATATTTGCACTCCTGCTATTTATGAAATTTTAGTTACTTTTATTCGAAGATTAGAAATTGACTGCAAAAGAAAAAGAGAAGAAATTAAATCATTTTATACTGTACTTAATTATTTTCTGAAAAATAATAGAAATATAATTGTGCCTATATGTTGGACAGAAAATATAGTCAGAATTAATAAATAAATTAATAAACTAGAAAATAAAATTAGAATATTAAACGATTGTTTTGATAAAAGATATATAGATAAATACAAGCATAATTTACTTTTTTCATTTATTAGGGGAAATACATCAAAGTTATCCTATATCAGCAATAGAAGACTTTGATTTGACTAAAGAATAAGAAGAATGATATTTATATTTTTTTATCAGAGAATGTCATCTATGATGCCAAATTACGTGTACATGTTGCAAAATCGTATTATAAATTAACAAGGACTAAACGGGAACTTAAAATTGAATAATGCTTGTGTCAGAAGATGAAATAATAACAGAATAATATGTTCAGGGGCGGAGCCAGCCCATTGAAGTAGAGGGGTCCTAGAGTTGAAGGGGTGGGGGTCTACGGGCTGCCCCTGAAATTTTTTTTTTGAATGGGAGTTGTTGATCTATCAAGTATCTATATTTGAATAACTCGACTTTTTATATCAAAACAATTTATTTTAGTTGAACGACAAAGCCGAAGCTAGACACCTACATTTGAAAAAAATTGTCAAAAATACAAAAAATCAAGGATTCAGTCCTGGACACCTACATTTGAAGCAATCTGGAGCTAAAAATAATCACATACATGGAACAAATCAAGGATTCAGTAAATACAAAAAATTAAAATTAAAAAAAANCTCGGGATCATTGCCGGAATTTTCAAGGGGTTTATCAGAAGCAGAATCATCGAAAAATGGTACCAAGTGCTTTACACTGAAACATCGACAATGTGAATGTGGCTGTGAAGCTTCGAGCAAATATATGTTCGAGTTTATGTTCTCTATAATCTCCAATTGAACAATTCTGCGGGATGAAATTGAAAACAATACAAACTAAGCCCCCGTTTGATGCATATTTTTGGAAAAAGAATGCATTTTTACTGTTGATGTGATAGGAAATATGTGGTTGAAAAAGAAGGAAAAGTTATTGATGTGATAGAAAATATTATTTTATTGAAAAACGTGGGGTTAGGCGAAAATTTTATTTGACGGGGCTTAAAATTTTGGCTAATTTAGCTCTTTCTTCTATCTTGCTTCAAGAAGTGGCCGTACCGGACTGGGCGGAGAATGAGCCCTCAGTCGCCATACTCACGGCTGAGCAGCCTGATTGCCTCTCTTTCTCCCTACTTGGTAATCAGTGTAACCACTGTAACCAATTTTTTTACATTTTTTTTTTCATTTTTTCCTTAAAAATTTTGAAATCATATTCTACAGGAGCTTGCCCCGGAATCTTTAACTAAGGAAATTGAAAATCATCTTTTAATCACTCTTTCTCAGGTACGCCATATGAATTTCCCTATTTTCGTTTTTTTTTTTCCTGAAATATAACTTTTTACTTCTTATCTTCAAATTTCAGGTTTTTGTACAAGTGAAGCAGTGGACACATGAATTTGATTCCGATTCCGATTCCCATTCTGACGAGGTCAGCACACTTCTTCATATAAGTGTATTGAACTCTCTTGCATTCTTTAACGTATTTTTATCATCTTCTTGTGCCTTATTACTAGCGGGAATTTGTTAGCAGGATTCGATGGCAATGCCTGCCGATAACAGTGCATGTTCAGATGTTTCAACTTCGTATTCGGACAATGGCAATTGTTTGGCCATGGTTGACTTAGTAAGTTTTCAAAATTTCATGTTAAGATCTTTCCTCCTATTGTGGTAAAATTCATAGATGGATCACTTTATGAACTGAATTCATCTATAAAGAAGGAAAAATGACCTTGAATTTATTTATTTTCATTAAGATAATCATTCATTGTTATCATTGTGTTTATAATTTGGTTCTCAAGTTATGAAGTTTAAAACTCATGATTTAGATAATGAGTTTATGGATTTTGTTTGATACCCATTTTGGAGAAAAAATAAATTCTGGAATAGTGATTGATGTAAGAATGTGTGGTTAAAAAGTAATGAGAATTTTTGGGTTTATGTGTAATATTATTTTATTGATAGAATGTGTAGTTGAAATGAAGAAAGAGAAAAAATGAGAAAGAAAATGGGTGTCAAACAAAGGCTATATTCACAATTGGATGCAAATTTCAGTGGGCATGTTGAAGTGTATGCTTAAACTGTAATAGGTCACAAGCCTCTTGTTTTGTGTTAATTTGTAATAAGTTGAAAGCAAATATCAACTCATTATCTCTATTTCTTAAGAACTTAGATGTGAAATATGCCTTAAACCAATAATTGAACTAGAACTTGAGCTGTGAAATGTTGAAAAGAAAAAAAATTATTGATCACCTCTTCCTTTTTATATATAACTGTATTGTTTCTTTTTAAATTTATTCAGATGTTGAAACAGGTTCACCTGAATGATTACACCCAGAATTCTAGTTATTTCAATCTTTAAGTTCTGAGCCTGAGTTTATATGTAATGAGTGAAGCTCAATATGATGATGAACTCACTCAAAATCAATACCAAATTAAAGATCACGGTCCAAGGGAGCTGCAATCCTAGCTCAATTTCAGAAATAATCACGAATTGGAAAATGGATGGGACAGAAATATAAGTAGAAAATGAAAAGATAGAAGAGGTTGTAGAAACAGCGGAGAGAAATCCAGAAGAGAAGATAGAATAACAGAATTTGGTTTTTTACATCAACATATTGATTCCACTCACTCGTCTGGTCTGTATATTTGTTGTAACAATTAAAGAAAATCGCATTCCAATTACAAGAAACTTAATAGACAAAATAGCGCTTAAATGCCAGGCGCTCTATTTCCTTTTGAAACAATAGTTACGGTTGGTTCTCTTCTTCATTTCCCCCACTTCTTCCACTGAGTTGTTGTCTCCTCATCATGACAACCCTCCTTCTTATCTAAACCATGTCCCCAAGGTTTAAAACTAGAATACTTCTTCTGAATGTCCTCTGAATCTTCCCAAGTAGCCTCTTCTGTGGTGTGCCCCGTCCATTTGATTAGCCACTGAGTTCCTGCATGATTTCCCGATTTCCTCTTTTGAAAATTTTGGTTTGAAGCACTTCCTCTGGTTGATTCACCACCTCCTCTCCAGATGGTAATTGCTCTACAACCACTGCCCTGCTTCCTATCTTCCGCTTTAAGTAGTGATACATAAAATTGAGGATGAATTTTTGCTTGGTTGGGAAGTGCCAGTTTGTATGCTACATTTCCAATCTTCTTTTTAATCTGATAGGGGCCATAGTATCTAGGACTCAATTTCCGATCAATCCTCCTGGCAAGGGACTGGTGTTGATATAGATGTAACTTTAGATATACCCAATCCCTTTCTTGGAATTGTCTCTCAATTCTGTTTCTATCAACATAAATCTTCATTTTGGCTCTTGCTTGTGCTAGGTTCTCCTTTAATGGCTGATCCATTTTATATCTCTCCTGCCAGATGTCTTCCACCATAGCAACACTTGTTTGTTGATAAGGTCCCGTGGCTAACTATGGTGTTAGGATCCCATATAATGCCTCAAAAGGTGTTCTCTTAATGGCTGAATGGTAAGTGGTATTGTATCACCATTCAGCTAAAGATATCCATTTAGCCCATGTCATAGGTTTGTGGTGTGTCATGCATTTGAGATATAACTAAAGGCACTGATTCAACCTCTCAGTTTGGCCTTCTGTTGTGGGTGGTAAGCTGAGCTGAGCTGTAAATTAGTTCCCATGAGCTTAAACAGCTCCTGCTGAAAGGTGCTAGTAAAAATCTTGTCCGTATTAGAGATAATACTCTGAGACATGCCATGGAGCTCATAAATGAGATCCAAGAATATTTGTGCCACCTTCTTTGCTGTAAAGGGATGAGAAAGAGTGAGAAAGTGGCCATACTTGGTGAATCTGTCTACTATCACTAAGATAGTCTCTTCAGATTTTGGTAGCCCCCCAATGAAGTCTATGGATATATGACTCCATGAATGCTGAGGTTCAGGTAGTGGCTGTAGTAGGCCTGGATATGGCAAGTATTTATCTTTACATTTCTGGCAGATGTCACACGGCATCATCTCTCTTCTAATTTATTATGTCGTGCCTGGCCAATAAAATTCTGTTTGGCTCTAAATATGCTATACTGTATTCCAGAATGTCCCCCTTCTTGTGAGGCATGTATAGTCTGGATTAATTTCTTCCTGATATCCCTCCCACTGCCAATATATAGCTTATCTTTGTACTTAAGTATTCCATTTTTATACTGATAAAGGCTCTGTCATCGCATCAAGAAGGAAAGCTGGAATTTTTTGTCCAGCAATAATATTGATATACTTGTGCACTTATTTTTTTGCAGATGGCTTTGCTTGCTGCCCAAAATCAATATATTCAGCACTTAGCAGGAAATACTTTCGTGGCTATCTCTGAGTTTGTCATTGCATCTGTATGTTACAGTATGGCAATGTGTAGTTTCCAAGCAACCATAGTATGGTGTTTACGCAGCTATATCTTATAGTAGTATATTTTGCAGGATAGCAGCTGGGATGACTTCATGCACTTCATGTGTCTTTGCTTGGAATGGGCAATTTGTAACAATCTTTCATGTTCTTTGGAACCTAATGCATTCAAATCCCAATACTTGGATTATTTACCAATATCTATCTCATTGCTGAAGTTGAAACTGAGAAATACAAATTGGTTAATGGTCGCTGCTATTTTTCGAATTTTACGTAATATACTGAAACTTTTGAGGGATTTTGATGACAACTTTATAAAACAATACCTAGATTTCATCGGCTCTTTTATTTCGAATGTGCCATGGGATTTGTTGAATGAGGTCTTTGTTGGCCATAATGCTGAGGCTTCAAGAAGCACCGGTGAAGATATTTCACATCATGTAAAGGCTGTACAACCAAAAGAAGCAATAACTTTTTATGGCAATCTGCTACAGTTCTTCTGCTCCTTGGTGGAGCAAAGTAATTTGCTGGAAGTTGGAGTTGATTCCTTGTCAGTCATTTGCAAAATCAGGAACCTTGTTCCCAAACTTTTGTCCTGGTGCCACAGCGAGCTACAGAGTTCTGACAATGTCCGTATATCTCAATATTTTAGACATAAGGTTTTGGTAAGTGACCTCAAGAAATTTCCTTTGGATCAACATTTATGAAGATTTCTCGCTGTAGAAAAGCCACAATAGGTGGAAGTTATACCTTTGCAAATGAATTCAGATTTATATTGGTCCATTGAGATATGGTTTTGTTGTCCATAATAATAGGTTCCTTTGGTTTAACGCATGATCAGATATCATTTGGAAAAGAACGACTTCATACGCATGATCAGATATCATTTGGAAAAGAACGACTTCCTACTTTATGGACATAAAGTGATTTCTATTTTCTACATGACCAGTCGACCTCTTTGTTATCATTATGGATATGTTTCAATCGACAGATAATAAGTTCAATAATTGCAATGTATCCGATCCATAAGTTTGTTGTTGAAGTCCTCATACACTTTAAGCCACTTGTCTAATGTTTCATGTTAAAATCGAGGGGCATTACTTTAAATTGGCTGCTGGTATTTCTTATTTACTTGATTAATCAAATATTTGTTGGTTATGATTCTCATGTCGATATAGATGTTATTTGGCTTTTAGCTTGTAATATGCTGAAGAAATGTGTAGACATAAAATATAATTATCTGTTTTCAACTCAATTGCATGGTTAAGGTGGTTTGTTTTCTCTTATTTTACTATTTCAATCAAAAAAGAGTTGAAATATTTCTTATGGCTAACAGTCTGATGCTTTATTTTTAAATAACGAAAGATCATGCACCTGGTTGAGCTGATGGATGTTCATTATGCAGATGCTAATGGTCAAACTTAGTTTACGAATCCACCTCGAATATACCCTTATCATATCATGGCTGCATCTTGTCTATGAGTACTTTGAAGACTTATTATTACTACCTATACCCGGGGAGAAGTTTGAAGAGGATTACTGTCTGGAAGGCTCGCCTTTCTGCACGAGTATTTTTAATCCTGGGAAACAAAATGTGTCATCTCGCCATTTGCAGAGGCTGGCTGTCTTCCTTTTCCTAAGGTGTTCCTTAAGTTTGCTCACCATGAAAGCAAGTCCTGATAAGCAATGTGCATGTGAAAGACTGGAGGTTTGCACAACCTTGGACCTGAATTTGAATTCAGAATGTTGCAGTAAAAGTAAAGGTTTGATAGAGCTCCACAAATGGCTTCTAGCACACGTTCCTGCTGATATCTTTCTGGACCATGAAATGTATTCTAAACGATGTCTGACATTTACCTTGTCCTTCGTTCAGCTATATATGCACGAGGTTTTCTCCATTCTTTCTTGAATTACTCTTGTAGATCTTCAATTATTTTATTGGTCCTTTCTTGTACTTCTAGTTAAATAATCCTTTACGACTTTACATTTGCTACTGCTTTGTATTTAACATATCTATTAAAATTTAACTTTTAAGATTTCATTCATGCATGATTTAGAAATATATTTCTTTTTAGTCAAGAATTTGTTCGTGAATAAAATAGTGCCCTCATTTAGCTTGTGAAAAACCCGTCTTAACATCCTTATTTTTTCATATACTTTTTCATTTCTTCTTGTTTTCCTTCTTCCTGTATATTCCTTTCCTCTTCACTTTAAACCTTTATTTGTGGACTCATTAATTTTTATTTTATTGAAAAAACTGCAAGAATATAAATATCAATGGATCGTAACTATGTTTCTACCATTTCTTTTTCTTCTTATTTTGTGATCAGATATTCTGATTTCTTTTGTCTGTTTGAGTTGTAGGATGATATCCTATTTGAAGTGCTCTTGCAACTGTTTTGCATGCCATTTCATCCTGATCCTCCGTAAGTGATGCACATATCAGTGTCTTGGTTCCTTTTAGCAGGTTTTTGAAGTATTTGATGAGGAGTTTTGAATGAAAATTGTACTTTATGTAGAATTAGAGGAGGGTGTCGTTTGGAAGTGAAGAATCACAAATTCTTTCTTGCTTCAGACTTATTTAATCCTATACATATATTTCACATATTCCTTGCAGAGGTAAATTCTTTGCAAATTCATTTGCACACTTGCAAATGCTTTCATATTTATTTATTTATTTTCATTTACCTATGGGTGTTACTGTTACAATGTCACGCACTTACCTTCCTTTCAGATACTTTATGATCACCAAGTACTTCTTGATTATCTTATCTCAAAAGACAGAGGTGCCAGCTGTGCTGAATACCTTTTGAGGTAAGCTTATTAACATTTTTTTTTTTTTTTGCTTTGCACTATCTTCCCTGTAATGTGCCAGAACTACTTGTTTATAAAATGGACAGGGTTATAGATTGAATCATGGTTGTAGTGCAAAGCTTTACGCCTGTTAACCTGCATATCTGATAAATGTTGCCATTTTGATTTTACACGTTTGCTAGTAGGTCCTTGCGAGTAGTGTGTGATTCCTGGAATTTGTTCGTCAAATATCCGGAAACGGAAGAAGCAAAACATCTCTTATATTCTAAGAGAAGAAAAGTTTTAGCAGGATGTTTGGATTCTGATGAAGCTTTATCCTCTCCACGTGTGAGAAATGATGGGGCTCCTTCATCACTTGAAATGGAATGTAAGAAAGTCCAGCTATCTGACAGTAAGCATGGCAGAAATTATAGACTGCCATTTGTGGGTGCTAGGGATTGTTTGGTTTCACTAAAAACATCCATCGAAAGTCTTTGCCAGAAGAATCTGTTTCCATATAATCCACAAGCCCTTCTGCTGCGGTGTGTTGTTTTATCTCTTATTTTACTCTTACTGCTGTTCTATGCATACATTTTGGGCATTGAAATGAT